ATTGCCCTTTTTATTCGTAAGGAAAAAGCAGCACAGAAAGGCAAAGGAGTTTAGCTGGTGTTACACAGCTGGAAGTGGTCATGTGGGGATCCCGACACGCCAGTCACAGTTTTCTCAGTTTCTGAAAGCAGAGTGACAAAGTCTAGTCGCAAAGGTTAAATTAAAAGAGATGAGTCTGGCAGACACGTCTAGCAATAGGACTAGGTTTACAGTAGATGCTTAATGTGATTGCTGAACTTCAATTGCTCTGGGACTCATGAGGTGGATGGGGACTTCCCTCACCCTGTTGGTATGTCCTCCTGGCACTTGCACAAGCTGCATGACTTTGGTCACTTTGTACAAGCCCTGAACCATCAGAGACCTTACACGAGGGTATGAAGACTCAGGGTGAGGACTGGGCCCTCTGCACACAGAGAAATGTCCAGGCCTCCCAGCCTGGCGTCTGAGCTTCCCTAGGTGGTCTAACCCACCCCTGATTCCCTGCACTGCAAACACCAGAGGCCTCCCCTCCTCCAACATGCCTGGGGCTCTCCTGCTCCCACTCCTTTGCTCTGTTGTCCTCCAAGGAGAATGCCTGCACACCCCCATCTCTGCCTCCGCAGGTAGGCAGCTTTCCTGGGGGATCCCCTCCTCGTCAGATGTGCATATCTTCTTTGTGCCCAAGACCCAGGTCAGTTCTGATCTGTTCCTCATCCCGGTGGCCATGGTAGGAAGAGCCCAATGTGTGCCTGCTCACACTACCAGACTAGAGGCTTGGGTCTCTCCCACCACCAGGAGGCCTGGAAAGTGGGGGAGCAATGAGGATCCTATTGGATTAAGGCCATATTGTCTCCCAGAGAACAACTGTGTCCAATAGTTAAACTCTCCTGGTATAGATAGCCATTTTACCACATTCTTCATTGACACAAAGTTCTGCCCTGTGGTCAAACTGTTTGTCCATATGGAACTCCCCAAGGCTGCCTCCTAACCATGGATAGTGGAAATCATTGAGAAAAGATTGTTCAACAGAAATTCTCTTTAGTTCTTGATCTTTTTTACCAGGGGAGTGAATTATTGGGGCTGAGACTTCATGGTTCAGCCCAGGTGCCATCCATGAGTGTCTGGTGCTGTATGCAGTGGACAGTGACTGTGCATCCTGTCACAATGCAGGGGACAGCAGCTGGGTAGCCCGGGTCCTCTCTGGAGCAGTCATCCTGGAATGGCCTTATAGCAAGGTCGGAGGTCACTGTCAGCTCTCTGAGCCCATCAAAAGAATCTGGGTAAACTCCCGGGAGCTATGACCTGGTCTTGATTTTCTGAGCATGACTAGTTTGGGATTGTTGACCAGGGTCTGCAGCAGAAGCCACCGCGTCCTGGACCTGGCTGAGACTCGGGGACCTGGGAGAGAATCAGAGCAGACAGACCTGGAGGACAGGGCTTGTCTCTGTCCTTCTCAGAGGCTATTGGAGAAGCTGACTGGTAGGTGTGAGGTGTGGGAGAAGGAGCTGGACCAGGACCCCTGGGGACATGAGGGTGGCAGAAGGGACATGAGTTTGTCCCAGAGCCGGATATCCGTTGGATATAGCTGGATATAGTTGGGAACAGTGATGAACTTAATCCAGACTGGTGCCCACAAAACATGACTAATTGGTGGGCTTCCCAGCAGAAGGCAGAGCAGAGTAGTAGGGGTGGAGGGGTGGAGTAGACGGTTATAGAGCCTTGAGGAGGCAGGTGTTGGGGGCCAGAAGCACTTGTGGTAAGCAAAACTGAGCCCCATCTTGGAGAGCATCTGTTCTGAACCCTGGGATATGGGCGGGGTCTCAAACAAATGGAATAGTGAACTCAGACAGTGGAACTAGAGCTCATTTCTGGGAACAAGGGAGGAGCCCACTTAGAAGGACAAGGACACCAGACCTCAGGGGTCCCATGGCCAGGCTGGCTGAAGACTAAGCCTCCTGTTCTCTCAGGTCAAAGGTCTCCCAGGGTAGGGAGTATGGAGGAAGGGGGGCAGGGAAAGGGGAAGCTGGAACATCTCAGGGATCCCAGAGAAGCCTTAGGGTACTTGTTCCCTATTGTCCAACCCCAGCATGGGTTCAGACAGAGCCTTACCTGCTGACTGATTTAGGCACCAGTATTTGATGGCCTGCTGCAGCCTCCGCTCCCTGTGCCCTGTGATCAGGATGTTACAAAAGCTGACGAGCACAGGGTTGGTATGATAATGATCCACATAGAGCATGCCAATCCAGGCGCTGAACCCTGAAACCCAGAAGGCAAGTCAGGCCATGCAGTATGCCCTGTGTCCCAGGATGCCCGAGCTTGTGCTCTTGATGATGTGGCTGCAATGCCACTTTGTTCCTATATGGTGCCCATGTTCTCACTGAGAACCTAGAAAACTAGGTCGGAAGAGCAGGAAGGGTTCTTAAGATAGCATTCTAATCCAACCATGTTATGGAAAATGTGAAGCTCAAAGCAGAAGGAGAGCTGTGGCTGATACAGAGAGGCTGTCAGTCCTACAATGAATGGACGAGTGAATGACTGGACACAGGTCAGAAATAAGACAAAAGCTACTTTCGCTCTACAGAAATGGCTTGATTTTAGACTATTTCAACTGAACAGGCCATTTTCTTAACTAAGTTTGGTTTCCAACTAATGACACACCAGTCATTCTGAGAGGTGTTCTTTCTCAAAATTTCCAGAGCTGTGCATTCATATTTACATTCTGACTGTTCAGATGGAATTTCTAGTACTTCTTACTGCTCTCCATGATATCTTGAAGGCCTGTCAAATATGCAGCAATTTACTTGCCTGAATTCTCTTCTGACCATTAGGATGAATGTGTTTTTCTTTTTCTTTTTTTTTAAGTTTATTTATTTATTTTGAGAGAGAGAGAGAGAGAGAGAGAGAGCAAGCTAGGGAGAGGGGTAGAGAGAGAATCCCAAGCAGGCCCCACACTGTCAGCATGGAGCGATGCAGGGCTCGATCTTATGAACCATGAGATCATGACCTGAGCCGAAATCAAGAGTTGGACGCTTAACTGACTGAGCCACCCTGGAGCCCCCTGAATGTTTTTTGCTACTCAGCTTTATAGCCTCCATGAGAAGCTGAGCTCTGAGGCAAAGAGTGTGAAGTCCAGGCCTCTGGTACCCAGCCTGCAGGCACCACAAAGGTACAAGACTAGTCCCCTCCACCTGACTCAATGCGTGGCCTCAGGGACCGGCCACTTACCCATGTCTGCACCCTCATAGCCATTCTGCATGATGGTCCTGTCGATGCGGGCAATCAGCCACGTGCCCAGGATGCAGCTGATGAGCAGCCTGGAGAGGCAGGCGCCCAGGCCCAGGAGCACGTTGTAGAAGAACAGAAAGTAGTTGAAGTTGTGGAAGGCTTTCCTGCAAACGGAAGCAGGCAGACGGGCAGCACCCTTTCAGTATGAGGAAGTGGCTAGCAGGCTGGTTCAGCGCCCCATGCCTGTGATCAAATCCTGCTGCTCCCATCTCCCAGCCCTGTGACCTTGTGCTGTAACTGGGAGCTGACTGTCCCCACCACACAGCACTGCTGTGGGAACTGGCTCAGACACCACAAATGTCCACAAATGTCAGTGGAGACTGTGATGTTTCATGGGATCCTTGGGTTTTGAGGTTTCCTGTATGGCAAGGAATCTCATGTGGCTACAGCTGGCTTTGTGGTTACAGCAGAGGTTGTGGCTTTCCCACTGTCTGTTGTAACAGTGACCTGCCCCCAGCTGGAACTGTTCCAAGTCCTCCAGGGGAAACTTTTCAAGTGACCACTTGACCATGTAGTTTCCTGTTGCCTATGGGATAAAGCCCAAACTCTGCATGCTGGATTTCTGGGCCATCTCTGAGAAGGGCCTTTCCCGGGATCATCACTTTGTGCCTCCTCCCTGCCCCTCAGCACCTATGGTGACCACTGCATGGTCACCATATTGGATTCTCACGGTTCTCTCAACACATCTTGCCCTTTTATGGCTTCCTACCTTCATCCGTGAAGTGAGGGCTGCTGGCCATGCCCTCTCCTCAGCTCTCCCACCTATAGGAATCCCACCACCCTACGACCTCAGCTCAAACTCCCCACCTGCAGCTGAATGAACCACCCCGTCTCTCTTTCTCCATTCCCTGTGCTGCTCTTTTGAGCCTTTCACACCGTCTGGAGTGTACTGGGGCCACATGACTGTGTCTGCTGGCTCCTGTGGACCGTGAGCTTCTGCAGGCAGGTCACGTAGGAATATCTCTTTAATCTCCAGTGCCCCTGTTGTTTCCTCCCCGAGTGAATGGCTTCAAATGAATGAGTTCCAAAGGATCACCATGGGCCAGGTACTGTTGTTCTAAGTTCATATTTTAACACATCTCATTCTCGGAATACCTCTGTGAGGAGTGTGCAATTATTTGTAAAATG